CACTGCCCTAGTCATCCCGTACTCCCCCCAGGGCTGGAGAAGGGTGAACGCCAGGGGCTCCCCCTGCTTGTTGAACACGCATTTGGAGGGGAATGTTGCTAGCACGAATCGGATGAACTCCAACACCTTTGGCGGTCCTCCCCACTTCCAAGTACGATTCACAAGCTCTGCGTGCTCTGGACCAAGTCGTCCCAAACTCACGGAGCAATCGGAAAAACTGCAGCTGAAAAATTGATTATGATTTAAGTTAGAACCATTTTGTAAATAGATATGCCTGATCAATGGGGAAACCGCGTTAAGAGAAAAAATTCCCAACACGTCATGTTTAATGCCAAACACAGCTGGCCATTGTCTACATATGATTTAAGTTAGAACCATTTTGTAAATAGATATGCCTGATCAATGGGGAAACCGCGTTAAGAGAAAAAAAATTCCCAACACGTCATGTTTAATGCCAAACACAGCTGGCCATTGTCTACAAGACGTTGTTTTTTTAGACGCCTACAATCTTTAAAATTCCAAGGACAATCACTGTAACTACCTGTCAGTTGCAGGCAAGACGTTGGGATGGAAGGCGGTGTGAACCTGAACTAGATTATCCTGCTGTGGCGCTGGCTTCCCCATCTGACGGCAAACATGGTTCAGGACTGGGAGGCCCTTCTCAGAAAATGCTGCAGAGTTAGAGGAAAGTACCGATCGTACATCTGGTCTACGTATTTGCATGTCAACTACCTTTTGCGAACTTATGGACTTTGTTGACCATTTGGTATATAAGCGTTTGGTATAAAGAAAATTGTTTCATTTTTTTTCCATTTTACCTGCAATGGTGAAGTTCTTGCCCCAATCTACCAGCTTGTCCTCACGGAGGAGTTGAAGAAGACCGTCCTTATTCTCCCAGTAGAACGTGTAGGTCTCGATATCCTGCATAAACTGGGATCGTATCAGAAATATTGTCATATAGCCAGATGGCATAGACCGTTCAGAAGGCCCCCTTTCCCTCGTAACCAACGAAATTGATATTTGGTACACTTCTCGCTATCCAAATGGAATACCTTCACGCGTTATGTTCAAATGAGCATAAGTGACCCCAAATGGAACATGCGTTATGCTCCAATGAACCAAATGGAACACGTGTTCTGTTCTAGTGACGCTGGGTCTTGAACACGTAAAACTATTTTAAACTAGAGAGGCCGACATTTGCTTGGGAGCAAATACAGCATATTTCAGTCCGTCTCCCTCCCACGCAAAAGTGGACTATTCCAAACTTACCCCAGTGTAAAACTGGCAAAGATTCTCAAATAAATGAATTATATAGTAGCTATGTAATTGAGAACAAAGATGCAAGAACAAGCACATTGAATCTCGAAAGCTTTACTAGTCTTATTACAGGTATGCAAATACTAACAATGATGAGATTTGATACATTTTGAAGGTCTTAGGCACATAAAATTGAATGTGTGGGTCATTCCGCACGACTTACGTGCAATGTGACCTCAGGTAACTCGCAATGGAACACGTGTTCCATGGCCAACGGCAGATGGAACAGGCCATTCTTTAGATAGAACATGGAACGGGTATAGCACTTTTGGCCCTTTTTTTGCTGAAAATAGCCATTAAAGTCCCCCAAATGAGTCATTTGGAAGTGGTGTATGCCAAATATGTGACTGCTATTCTGTGGACACATGTTCAAGGTACCCTTATACCGAATTTCAGATCATTTGGTTGTAAAACCAGGGCTCAGGATCCAAAAATACATTTTTTGTCGAAAAATGCCCCAAAAAACCTTCATGAAAATTTTTCAAAGGCATGTATCAAGAAAATGAAAAAAAAAAACGCCTGGGGGTATTGGCCCACTCTACCTCCATGCCAAATTTCAAGTCATTTGGCTAAATGATGGCGGAGTTGAATCCCTTTGACTGTGTGGCAGGAGAAGAAGAAGAAGAAGGAGAAACATCAGAGAACACAATATATTTCATCCATACCATGCGGTATCGACTGATATATGAAAAGGACACACAATCAACCCATTGTACAGATCATACAAAAGAACGGTTCGTAAGAGTGAATGAGCATTTTCAACGTACTTACTCCACTTTCAACTCGGCTCCTTTTTAGATCACATGTACATGTAAGCCACGTGACGTGTTGTATCTACGACAATTCATATTACTGCAATCAACATTATTCTGAGAGGATTGTTCGAAGGATGGAAAGCTTCCATCTCACACGTAACGTTACCTTATACGTTCCCTCCCCTGATGCACACATGACGGCTGTGTAGTCTGGCCACTTGTCTACAGCAAACACCATCCCACCCGGAATCTTTCCAGCTAGGTAGTTCCTGGCAGTGAAGAAGATCTAAGCGGATATAATGTTAGATGGTTTTATTTGTTTGTTTATTTGAAGGATCTTCATTAGTGAATATAAGTATACGCATATACTCACTATTCTTTTTGGAGTCGTAAAAACACATCATTACAAACTGATTGTTATTATTTTGCTCATGTAAAATCGAAAAAAGCATAAGGCGTATCAAGCAAGTGGTGAACGAGAAACCTATAATCACATGAGCTAATGAACATAAATCATGATTGACCGACATGAAATTTAAATTGTAACATAATTAGGAAGGTATTCGAGGAAACATCTTGCAGTGGCGACAATTAAAAGAAACGGCCAGGGGTCGAGTTGTCCCAGGTGCCGAGTTGTCCTGACACCGCCACAGCTAGCCATTCTAAACATCATGACAAATCAAAAGCAACACAAAATGATTTTCAAGTTATGAATGGGCTACCTTGGCAGTTGAGGGTCCCACTGTCAGGTCCCTGGTCAGTCGAAAGGTGTTGACAAATTCCTGCAGAGCACGACTGGACAGGCGGTGGCAGGACATGGTGGTGGCTGGCTCGGGCTGGCACCTTTACTAAGCGTCGTGTTGTGTTTACGGAAGTAAGGTCACATCCATGTATTACTCCGAGTAGTACCTAAACGTGTACCGACCCAAAAAGTAAAAGACTATATGAAAGGTGAGAACTTTCCTTCTGTGCAGCCCAATGGATCTAGAACGTCAAACTACTGAAAGCTTGTTCGAAACTGAAGAAACTAGTACGTAACTTTTGGTAGTAGCGAGCTAGGTCGGATGTGCACAGTCCAGGATTTGGAGTGGTGCGGTCGACCGGTCGTACGACGACGGATGTCTGAGTGGGGTCCGACAAGGGCATTTGTATTGTGATTAGTTGGGTGGATCCACAAGACCCCACAATGGTCCGCCAATTTACGGAATACACATAAAGGAGGGGTAAATCAACCGGTCCCACTGTCAGGTCCCTGGTCAGTCGAAAGGTGTTGACAAATTCCCGAAGAGCACGGCTAGACAGGAGGTGGCAGGACATGGTAGTACCTAAACGTGTACCGACCCAAAAAGTAAAAGACTATATGAAGGATTATGAAAGGTGGGAATTTCCTTCTGTGCAGCCCAATGGATCTAGAACGTCAAACTAGTGAAAGTTTTTTCTGTAACTGAAAAAACCAGCACGTAATTGTTGGCAGCAGCGAGCTAGTTCGGATGTGCACAGCCCAGGGTTTTTAGTGGTGCTGTCGACTGGTCGCACCATTCGACAGGTCGCACCATTCGCACAAGGACGGATGCCTAAGTGGGGGTCAAGGACATTTATAATGCGATTGGTTGGGTGGATCCACAAGACCCCACAATGGTCCGCCAATTTGCAGATACACATAAAGAAGTGGTAAATCTACTGGAATACACCCTGCTCTGATGAGTTAAAATCCCAGATTGGTGTATCTAATAAGGCAACCGGTATACATGGCCCATGGAACAAGAAATCACTAGAAATTTCTAAGCCATTGCATGGATACCCTGGATGCCAGACTAGTAGTATACAGTTGTAGGGCCAGCCAAATTCCCCTCGGGCTCAACTCCCCCTAGCGGTAATTTAGACCGGCGGGCCGAAGGGCTTCTGGCTACCAAAGGGCCCGATACCAGTCTGGCATCCATGGTATTGCATAGAGGTACCGAAGAGAGACGATCGGCGATGTCGACCGGGCCAGTCGGCCATGTTTGTTTTCCGTATTGTGGATTACACAGTGTTTGTTTAACGGGGTCACAATGAGGACACAGCTACTGAGATTACAACTTTGATGATTGTAATATTCTGACAACTCACTTCTGATGAGGACAGAATCACCACCAGCGTGTATCAAAATGTGGTGTACTAGTATTCCACATGCAAGGCACCAGACCAATGTCGGGGTTAAAGTACCCCCGTCAGACAAGTATGTCTTTGACTATACTATTCATAGTTGCTATATATCAAGTTTCTATTATAAAATCATTCTTTCGTTCAGACAAGGTGAAAGATTGAAGTATTTCCATAAAGTGTAAATTCAGATACAATGGTCTCCCTGTCACTCTCTCAATATTTATATATCTATATGTGCACACAAGTTGGCTAGTGTGTGGCGAAATGTAGCCTTGAATCGTTTATGTACAGACTGAGAACTGTAGCAATAATTGAGTTGCAGAATTCCACAATATTTACAGGGTTTGTGCATGTACGTTTTGGTACATGTTAAAGCCCGGGCATCTCTGCTATATAGCTCCACCCAACTAGACCACCTGTAGACCCAGCGCTAAAGCTGCTTGTCTGTTACAGACTTACATAGAAGCAACTTCCGGAAGGGTCCCATTTCGGGACCAAATCTCCATCCACTACTTTCTTCATCTTTTTATTGCTTGGCTCCATGAAGCCGTACGGGAGATCCCCCGCCTTCAGAACCTCGTTGCCCATGCTCTTCATGGCTATAGTGCCGTACCGACCAGGCACCAATGCCTTACTCATCCCGCACTCTCCCCATGGCTGCTGAACGGTGTACGCTAAAGGCTCTCCCTGCTTGTTGAACACACATTTGGAGGGGAAAGTTGCTAGCACGTATCGGATGAACTCCAGCACCTTTGGCGGTCCTCCCCATGTCCAAGTACGATTCACAAACTCTGCGTGCTCCGGACCAAGTCTTCCCAAACTCACGGAGCAATCGGGCAGCCTGAAAAATTAAGATTTAAGTTTTGTAAATAGATGTGACTGATCAATGGAGAAACCAGCGTAAAGAGATTGTATATTAATTGTTGCACATGTGTCACGTTCCATGCCAAACCCTTTCCTACAGCTGGCCATTGTCTACAAGAAGATGTCTTCTTTAGGGTGACGCCTACAATCTTTAAAATTCCAAGGACAATCACTGTAGCTACGTGTACCTGTTAGTTGCATAGCCGCCGAGTTTGAAGCCGGTGTAAAGCTGAATCAGATCATCCTGCTGTGGCACCGGCTTCCCCATCTCACTGCACACATGGTTCAGGACTGGCAGGCCTTTCTCAGCAAAGGCTGCAGAGTTAGTGGAAAGTACCAGTCGTTCATCTGGTCGACGTATTTGCATGTCAACTACCTTTTGCGAACGTATGGACTTTGTTGACCATTTGGTATATAAGCGTTTGGTGTATAAGAAAAATTGTGTCATATTTTTGGATTTTTTTTTTCATTTTGATACCTGCAATGGTGAAGTTCTTGCCCCAATCTACCAGCTTGTCGTCACGGAGGAGTTTTAGAAGACCGCCCTTATTCTCCCAGTAGAACGTGTAGGTCTCGATATCCTGCATAAACTGGGATCGTATAAAAATATTATCATATAGCTAGATGGCGTCGTCCTTAATCAGAAGGTTCCCTTTCCGTCGTAACCAACGCCATTCATTGATATTTGATATACTACCCGCCTTTCAAATGGAATACCCTAAACGCGCTCTATTCCAATGACCACCGGTGACCCCAAATGGAACACACGTTCTGCTCCAATGACTCAAATTGAACATGCGTTCTGTTCGAATGACCGCTAGTTCTTTAACACGTAAAACTATTAAAAGGAAACACAATCAATCCATTGTAATTTATTTTCCTCCTATCAACTCCATCTCACATGTACCTTATACGTTCCCTCCCCTGATGCACACATGACGGCTGTGTAGTTCGGCCACTTGTCCACAGCAAACACCATCTCACCCGGAATCTTTCCAGCTAGGTAGTTCCTGGCAGTGTAGAAGATCTAATGAGATATTAGATGGTTTAATTTTTCTGATTTATTATTTTGCAACTTTTGTAAAATCGAAAAGCACAATAAAGGAATATGAAACAAATGGTGAACGACAAACCTAAAAACTATAATCACGTAAGCTAATGAACATAATGTTATAATCAAATTGATGATAAAGAACAAGTTTCCTGTAATCAAATCATCGTCGTCCGACCGGTCGACCGCACCCTGGACTGTCACCGTGGGACTGTGCACATCCGACCTATAGCTCGCTGCTGCCAACAATTACGTTTAATTTTTGGGGAGGCTGCCCACGGACGACGAAGACTGAAAAGGCCGAATTACGCCTTATACGAAAAAGGGCATGCTTGTCCCCTTTAACATGTCATGATGTTTAGAATGGCTAGCTGTGGCATAAGCATACATTTGTATGTACACTTTGGTTTCCTTTAATAGTCGCCACGGCTAGATGTTACTCAGATAGCTTCCTAACCTTGTCGCAACTTAAATTTCATGTTGGCTATCGGCCTTTTCAGTCTTCGTAGTCCGCCTCCCCGAAAATCAACGTAATTCGTAGAAGTACATTAGCCGCAAAGCGTAAAGTAATAAACAGCTAACGTTACATGTAGCTCTGAGACTTATAACGTAATTTGATATTCGGCTTCGAAAATTTTGCGTAATGACTGCCCCCTCCCCCATGCAGGCCCTCATTAAAAGCAACATAAAATGAATTTCAAGTTATGAATGAGGAACCTTGGCAGTTGAGGGTCCCACTGTCAGGTCCCTGGTCAGTCGAAAGGTGTTGACAAATTCCTGCAGAGCACGACTGGACAGGCGGTGGCAGGGCATGGTGGCTGGCTCGGGCTGGCACCTTTACTAAGCGTCGTGTTGTGCTTTAGGGTAGGGAAGGTAACGTTAAGGTCACGTCCACGTATTCCTCCGAGTGGGTACCTAAAAGAGTACCGACCCACAAAGTAAAAGACTATATGAATGGTGGAAAATTTCCCTCTCTGTAGCCCAATAGATCTCACGAACGTCAAACTAGTGAAAGCTTGTTCGAAACTGAAGAAACTAGCACGTAATTGTTGGCATCAACGAGCTATAGGTCGGATGTGCACGGTCCAGGGTGCGGTCGACCGGTAGTACGACGATGACTTAATGGCGGTCAATGACATGTGATTAGTTGGGTGGATCCACAAGACCCCACAATGGTCCGCCAATTTACAGAATACCAAAGAGGTTAAATACAATTTGATTTTTAACTCCATGAGAATACACATAAAGAAGGGGTAAATCTACCGGAATACACCCTGCACTGATGAGTTAACATCCCGGATTGGTGTATATAATAAGGGAACGTATACATGGCCCATGGAACAAGAAATCACTAGAAATTTCTGAGTCATTGCATGGATACCCTGGATGCCAGACTAGTAGTATACAGTTGTAGGGCCAGCCAAATTCCCCTCGGGCTCAACTCCCTGTAGCGGTAATAGATCGGCAGGCGCAGGGCTTCTGGTTGCCGAAGCTTAAGGGAAAGGGTTAGCTGCCCGATACTAGTCTGGCATCCAGGGTATCGCAAGGAAGAAGAGAGCCTTACGCCGTCAGTGCCGTTCGGCTGATGTCTACCGGGCCTAACTTTGCTTTATTAGAATATACAATACTCTGTTGAACTTTGTCCTTTTTCTAAACTTAATGGTCTCAAGTCTGCAGCAGTTGGTGGTTGATATAGGCATAGGCATATTACACATTGCAAATGCATCAACATGACTAGTATCATAACGTTTTCAAGTTTTAAAAAATAACAAGGAAGGATAGACTATTACGGTAGTTTTTATTTCAGTTCATGGAATGTATTATAATGAAGGAAACAGTGAGTACCAGGTATATATTTTTTCGGGCTAGCCCTTTTCAATATATAGCTTTGTTAGTTAGTTGGGCAGCCAAGGCTATTATATTGTCATACCAATAAATAAAATAAACAGTGAGTAAACAGTGACGTCAAGTAGGAAGACCATAATGATTATTCAATAGTAATTATACTAACGTTGTAAGCATGTAATCTACAATGTTTAGTTCAACGTTGAAGCCATTAAATCCTTAAAGACAATATAACAGATTCTTATATGGATTCCAATATGGGTAATTTACTTAAATGAGTTGTATGTTCTTTAAAAGTTTAATGATTATGCATTTACATGTTCCTGTATTGCTGATTATGCTATCAAGAGGGTCAAAGCATGTCAAAAGGCCCATTTCTCCCTATGGCCGACCAAGTACTCTTGGCAGATGATGGATAATGTTAAATCTGTTACAGAACATGACATCAGGCTAGCATCCTTCTTAAAAAAGACTCTACACAGCAAGTGCAGGGGATATATAGTATGTAAGTTGCTGCAGAACATGATATCAGGCTAGCATGCTGAAGGTTTAAACCATCTTCCTGCTGCCTAACTCTGTAACCAATATTAGAGAACTGGTAGCCAAACAGCTACTTCAGTGTGCTAAAGTTTTAAGAATCGTCACGGACAACTCAGTTGTTGGTAGATGCTTTCTTGGGGAGCCTGTACATGGCATGTACAGTGCTGATGGATACTGTTAAATTTGCATTAGAATAACAGGTTAAACATCTTAGATACTTGTCACAGACTTGTCACAAACGGTTCAGTTGTAGATAGATATTTCCTGGGAACACGGCGAGGGCGGTGGGTACTGTGAGATTTGCTACATGACATCAGGCCAGCATGCCGGACAACTGAGCAGGTTGGTAGATGTTTCCTGGGAAGGCTGTACACGGCAAGTGCAGGGGATAGTATGAAAGTTGCTGCCTGACCCTGGAACAATAGAGAACTGGTAGCCAAACAACTACTTCAGTCTAAAGTTTAGAGTTGTCGCCGACAACTGAGTAGATGCTTCCTGGGAAGACCATCAGGCTAGCATGCTGGAAACCTCAGTTGCTGGTAGATATTTCCTGGGAAGACTGTACAGAGCGAGAGCGGCGTCCCCGACCTCTGTCTGCAGGAGGAGGAACATCAGCCTCCCCACGATCCTCATCCCCAGCGGCAGACGCACCTTCCTCCCCCCCACCGCTGACGCCTTCCTGCCGACCACGAACCCGCAGAGCGGCTCGATCTGGCTGCTGTCCCCGTCCAGCTCTACCGCGTTCTCCACGTCCATGGTGCTCCACAGCAGGACCTGACTGTCCCAGCCCGCTGACACCAGGAACTGGCCGGACGGGTGGAACGCCACTGCTGAGGTAAAGGCCACGTGTCCTGTAGAGTGTGTGTGTGTGGGGGGGGGAAGATAAAATATTCCTCATTGTTTCCTACAATGTCATATACATTCAAGGTACATGTAGGTGCTCCACAGCAGGACCTGGCTGTCCCAGCCTTCCGACACCAGGAACTGGCCCGACGGGTGGAACGCCACTGCTGAAGCGAAGGCCACGTGTCCTGTAAGGTAAGGAAGGGAAAGATGTTATCGGCGTTCTCCACGTCCATGGTGCTCCACAGCAGGACCTGGCTGTCCCAGCCCGCTGACACCAGGAACTGGCCGGAGGGGTGGAACGCCACCGCTGAGGTAAAGGCCACGTGTCCTGTAGAGTAAGGTGGGCAAGGATGTTACAAATCAATCAATCATCTGCCGACACCAGCAGGACCTGACTGTCCCAGCCCGCTGACACCAGGAACTGGCCGGAGGGGTGGAACGCCACCGCTGAGGTAAAGTACAGTAAGGAGGGCAAAAATACAATGTTGGCATGAGATTGTGTACTCTTTTTGAGTAAGAAGTTTATTGCAAAATTCTTGCCCTAGGGCTAACCTTAACTGCAGATATCAGGAAAAGAAGGAACAAACAATGAAGCACAGTACAGTACAACTCTATATTGCAACTTGTTGGGTGAGACAGTGGAAGACAAATTAAGTGGAAGACTCACCCTTTCTGTAACGTGTGGGTTAGTGATGAATGTCAATAATAAAAGAAAGTTTGTTATCCAGTGATTTGTTACCCTGATGAAACTTTTCACTGAGGTATCTGTGCTAGCATGACTGAACAAATGAATAAATTCAAAATTGAAGTACATTTAGCACCCACCTTTCAAAGCACACACATGCTGGAACACCTTGAAATTTTCAGTTTTCTTCTGGTTGCCAACTGAAATGGAATGAAATACAAACAGGAACTAAATGACTTGCAAAGATCACACTAAAAGGTTAGGCTTCAGACTAATTTTCAGTCAATGATGAAAGATAAAAGAATCTGATGCTATCTGAAATGCCTGACTCTTTATCCAGTTCCTTGATTTACATTGTATTGCATAATGGATTTGCAGCCTTCACCAACATGAGAAAACTTACATGTTGACAAGCAAAAACTCTACCCAGTTCCTTGATTTACATGTATACTGTATTGTGTAATGAATTTCTAGCCTTCAACGACGTTAAAAAAACTACCATTTTGACAAGTAAAAACACGCAAACAAACCCAATTGCTAAAGGTGGCCATGTGTGATGGAGGCTGAAGTTGAACTTACAGTAGTGCATGATGGTTCCCCTGTCAGCGTTCTTGTCCTCTGCAGTCCTCATATAGAACATGGTCACCTTGTCATCTTCTCCTGCTGCTGCCAACAGACTGGTGGGGAGCATACAAATAATTAAAACAACAATAGACACATGTCACACACTCGCGAGGCAAGAACAGTTGCTTGTTTCACACTAGCTATTTATTGGTGGTACAAATAATAAAGGCGGAGACTCCTCATGTAGCTTGTTTCTGGGCTATTTCAAATGCTTCATGGATGAAAATGATGAAAATGTGCTAAGAAACTGCAGTAAATGATGGGAGCGCTGGGTGCACCGAAGAAAAATTTTGAGCATATGCTCCTAAAATGGGAGCAGTCTGGGGGGCTGCTATCTATGAATGGAGACTAGCGTAATTCTTGCCCACCTTTTGTGTGGGTGCCAGGCCATGTCACGCACAGCTCCGTAGTTGATCTCACATGTACAGACCAGTTTGATGACAGGTTGTGCTCGCAGGTTCAGGGTGTAGAAACACACTGTGCTGTCATGGAAACCCACGGCCAGGTACCTGCAAGGGTTGTTGGGTGTTAACAGTTACATCATGACAATGCACATGACTCTTTGAAATTCCAATACAGTAAGACAGGACTAGACAGTAAACAGTTACATCCTGACAATGCAGGGGACTGTTTAAAACTGCACTATTTTCATATCAGCAGGACTACATGTAGAGAGAAAATATAATATGTAACCAAAAGAAATGATGGCTTACTAATTTGCCATATTGGTGTCAATTTACTAATAAGGAGTAATGCAACGAATAAAGCAGGACTTATATGAATTCATTGGAAATGCATATTTGCAGTGTCAAAAATTTGTGGTTAAGAGATCACTGTGAAAATAAATCACAATCATACATTGTATTGACAGTATTCCTGGCCCTAGTATGAAGTACATGTAGTTGTACTCACTTGCCGGATGGTGAAAACTTGAGTGCAGTTGGGTAACTTAGCATGGCTTCTGTTGATGCTATCTCAACCAAGCTGGAAACTCTGGAAAAACAAAAACAGTAGATGAAAGATTTTTCAACTTTAGTATTAAGATTTAGCAGCAGTATAATCAAATCCAGGATAGTGAGTGTGAGTGAGTAGTTACATGTTGTAGAATGTACATGTAGTAGTAGACGTATTAGTAATAGTAGTGGTAGTACAAGAAGGTTTAAAATCAAACCTTCTTGCTTCTACTTCTACCACCACTTTTTGATTATACTGCTGTGGTGGTCCCTTATACAGGGGTGGGCAGCACTATATAATAGCTAGTCTTCACAGTCTTCAGTCTTGTATCTGTGCAAAGAGAATGCCAAGCCCTTATCACGCCTGCCCCCTTGTGGCCCAGAAGTGCACTGCAAGGTACATTTGTGTCCATGGCTTTACCAATGCAATTATATTGATAACTGCATGGTGGTGTTTACACATTGTTCTGTGTACAGTCTAAATGCGCACATGGGGTGTTGCTCTCCTAAACACGGGACCTCCATTCAACGTCCTATCCGAGGGATGGCCCTAACGGAAGCTAGGTACTCATTTTCACCTGAGTGAAGTGGGGAAAGTCGTGTTAAGCCTTTCCCAAGAGCAAAAAAATCGATGACAAGGTGGGGTTCGAACCCGGGACCTCTCGGTTCTGAGCCAGAGACAATACTGCTATGCCACACGACCCAACTAAATAGTTATATATAGTTATATATAATCCTTCTTGTCTGTTGTAATCTGCAATTTTGTATGCAAACTCTTTGCAAGTTTTATCCCTGCTGCAAGGTTTGCTCTTTAGTGTCACAAAATAAAGAATAAAGTAACAACGTAAAGCACGCCCCCGTCTCTGACCTGTCGTGAACCCTGTACTGCCACAGGTGCACCCTGCCGTCGTGATGGCCTGATGCAAGAACAGTTGCAGCGCTCTGACACAGCCATTCCAACCTGTCAACACAGTACACACAGCCAATGTAAATATTACATCTGGCTATATATATACATTTGTCTAGTCTGGAAAAAATAACTTCCTGGATATTAAAATCCTACATTTTTTCCTGTCTTGTGTCATTAAACTTACATGAAGTTCAACAATGTATTGTCCAATCATCCTCTTCACATACAATCACATGGTCAATGGTACATGGTTCATGTACTTGTATGTAATAGACATATAGCAAACTAGACTTTCAGATCTGGGCAAATCCAGCCTAAACCTGGGCTAGATAGATCCTTAGTGATGATTAGTCAACCAGTCGACCAGAGCGTCCTGCATTAGAGAGGCACAGTTAAAGGTATAAAGGGAGGAGTTGTCCGATCTCTGTCATTCTTGGGAAAGACGAATAAAGTCGAAACCGGTCGATTTCCGTCTCAGCACTGTCATTTTCCCAAGTTATGAATGATGTATACATGTAGTTATGTTTAGCATGATGATGGTAGGTTCAAAAGGAAGATCTAGACAGTGTAAGATGAAGAAAAGACAAACCCCACCTTGTGACTTGACTGTTGCCGACCTGGTCTGCGGACACCTCCACCCTCGGTACCCGAGCCTCCTGCTGCCCTGTCGTGTCTTTCACCAGGATGTCTCCAGTCTTCTTCCCACATGCCAGCAGCTGGAGAACTCCCACATCTGACATGGGGAAAACAAAACCTCCATGTAAAGAACCTGTTACACATTCAGGACCTTCTAACCAGGACCCAGGACTTTTCTCCTGACCACTTCGTTACCAACCAGAGGTGGATGGCTGCAACAGGTGGTTGGCTGTACCAAAAACTGTTCAACACTTGAGTACAGAACCTGTAAACCTGGATAACTCCCACATCTGACATGGGGAAAACAAAACCTCTGTGTAAAGAACCTGTTACATATTCAGGACCTTTTCATGCCTGGGACTTTTCTCCTGACCACTTACATGTACCAACCAGAGGTGGATGGCTACAACAGGTGGTTGGCTGTACCAAAAACTGTTGAACACTTGAGTACAGAACCTGTACACCTTGTCTAAATGTAGCTGAATATTCTGTTTATTTATACCTACTGGTACTATTTTCCCAGCTATTCCCTGGGGACTGAAAATCCTGGATGCACACTCAGGTATACCTTGTAAACCAAAGACTGTGGTCAGGTCTCCTTATTACCAGGTCTCCTAGAGAAAGTAAGTTGAATACTAGTGAGAAGCACTAAACCTTGTCTAAATATATTCTGTACATCAGAACATTCTGTACTATTTTCCCAGCTTGTAAACCACTGGACTCAAAGGGCTCTGGTCAGATCTTGTGTCCCACATACAGGATTACGCCACCAGAAACTCCCATAAACACATACTGCAACTTTTAACCGCCAGCTCGTTTCCCTATCACCTGTCCTGCAGGACTGCCCTACTGACACCAGCCCTGAGTAAATCATGTGGAGGTGGTGTGGTCACAGGGAAGTGGACAGTGGGGGGAGGGCGTGATGGATACTGGTCCCTATCTGGCCCTGTCCAGGCACAGCCACTGCGCAACGCCTCGGGCACTGCTGCCAGTTGTCGGGACAAAGCCATCGATTGGTCACTTTCATGTCCTCTAAAACAGAACTGAATTTATTGGGCTTATTTAGGATTCAAAATACTTTCTTTCTGCATACCTGCACATTTTGGTTCAGAGTTTAATAGTACCATGCAGAGTTTAGTAAATATGGATCACATTGCCATGATCATCAGAAATACCTGCACAGCTTCAATTTTACCTGGTCACTTTCATGTCCCCTAAAGCAGTATGTGTATAGAATTTCATATTCAAACTCTGAAGATGAAGAAGTAGTAGTAGTTTTGGTTTGCCGACATTCTACTTTATGTTATTTTGAGCGTTCCTGTATTAAAATTTTTACGTAGTACACTTATTTTCAAAAATGAGGAGAGGATGAGTAGTGTATAGAATTTCATAATATTCATAATACTAGTATTCAAGATTTGTAGTTTTCTTTTATTGACATTCTACTACTAATTATATTACGTTGCGCACCCAAAATTTTTGTTGGCCCTCCTAAATTTCTAAGGCAAAAGTAGTTGACTGAAAATTAAATTTTGACTTTTAACCTAAAAAATTAGTAAAGCCACCAAGTTTGAGGAGAGGATGAGTAGTGTTGACTAACCAGATGGATTATACTGTTCTGTAATTTTTTTTGCTGACATCCTACTTTGTCTTATTTTGTGCACCCAAAATTTCTGGGCACTATTAAATTTTTACATACACCTACATAATTCTCAAAAATGACAATTAAAGCCATCGACTTTGAGGAGGATGAGTAGTATTAAAAACTGCAGTGCAGTAAATACCCATCTGCATTCTGCAGAGACATTGCAGAAGAAAAATTAAGCACCCTGCAATTTTGCAGACCAAAAAAAAAATGCAAGGGGTTCAATGGTGCTCAAGAACTTTTGTGTTTACTAAATATACTGACACTATAGTATAAATAAAAATGTCAAGTAATTTTAATATTTATTAAATTGCATGTAAAATGTTTGCCAACATGCAATTTTGTATATGCCATGGGTTTAGATCCTGACTTTAAAGTGTGTATTTGCAGAGAGTATTTCTGAATTGCAGAGCAAAATTTTAACATTATGCAGTATTGCAGCACACTGCAAAAAAAAGTACTTCTACCACTGGGTCATCCCGAGGTGAGGCAGTTCCAACTGGACACTCCCATGGAGCTCCTGAAGTGATGAATGCTGGCCACTATCAGCCAGTGTCCAGGCACAGCCACCAAGCTGTGCCTCGGGCCAAGCTTGAAGTTTTAATGTCACAGTCGTCCATCACTCCGGCCCTTTGGACACCCCGTGGCATCAGATGTTGCACACAGAGGTCTTCCTTAATGTCTTCGTTTAGCTTAAAACCCTGGGCGTTCGGTTCTGTGTCTGGGATGGTGTGTCCTCCACGGCTTGAGGTAACAATAAAAAGTCAGGACAGACGCGGCTATCTGGTACTGTCCAGGCAGGACACCCTGCTGTGTCCCAGGGGCAGGCTTGGAGTTCTGATGTCACGCTCATACCTCACCCCACCTCTCAGTATCACTATCAGATGGGGACCAAACAACTTCACAGGTATGCGTTAATCTGGGTTTAAGGCCTTGGGAATGGATATTTTCTGAGGGAGGATTTGGCTAATGTTTTGTGCGCCGTTTTGTGCTATACACAGAACTGGACATATATGTGTGTTTGGTTTAACCCTAAGCGTTCTTTACAGGTAGCATTAGGCCACACTGATTCAATTTTATGGATGACATCCGCGCGCGCATTGATTTTTGCCTGAAAAAAATCACCTTCTCCAAGGCTCTGGTCTAGGTGCCATCCCCTGTAGTCCATGGTAGCTAGCAACAATAGGGAACCGGCCGTAACTATGGAGGGTGGCACCCAGGCTGCCGACGCTCCACGGAACTCCAGAACTTAGTACAGTGCCGACTCATAAATGCCACAAAAGGCCAGCATGTGCTAGCCATTGTAACAGTCGGTATGTACTACTAACCACAAATTCATAATACCTGAGCTTTGTATTCCTGCGGTTAAGCAGCATTTTGTTGGGGGGGCTGGAATTTTTTTATTCGCCCGCTCGCACTAGTTTGGGGTCCTCAGAGGATGTCATCCATAAAATTAAGCCAGTGTGGCCTTACAGGTAGCATTACGGGTTCCCTATGGGCCGGACTAGGGCGACACGGAGACACAATACTGGACACTGTGGGGCTCTGATGATGGATCACTGCTTATATCTCCCACTGTCCAGACATGGCCACCAAGCTCTGCCCCAGGACAGGCTTTTCTTATCAATGCAGAAATGACATGGCGTTTTTAAATCACTCTGTCTTGTCACCTACACCCTTGGTGGGTGAGTACTAGTATACTATTATGTGAAGTCAAACTTTGACTCAAAAGCAGAGAGTGGACAATGTTAATGCATCATTTTTTAAAAGGTAATAGTCTTGGCTTATAAGTTATTTGAAAGTTAGAAGGTATGGTGTTTTTAAATAACTATGTCTTGTGTCACCTACACCCTTGGTGCGTGAGTACTACTAGTATACTATTATGTGAAGTCAAACTTTGACTCAAAGCAAAGAGTGGTCAATGTAAATGCATCATTTTTTAAAAGAAATGTCTTGGCTTATAAGCTATTTGGAAGTTAGGACGTATGGCGTTTTTAAATCACTCTGTCTTGTCACCTACACCCTTGGTGGGTGAGTATATTTTGTGAAGTCAAACTTTCACTCAAAGCAAAGAGTGGTCGATGTTAATGCATCCTGTTTTTTAAAAGAAATGTCTTGGCTTACTTATTTGGAAGTATAGGACGTAATACTATCATGGTGTTTTTAAATCACTCTGTCATGTCACCTACACCCTTGCTAGGTGAGTATATTATGTCAAGCAAACGTGAATCCATCATTTTAGAAAATGTCTTATTTGGAAGTTAGGACATTAATAAAGATACTGTTCAAACGATAGATCAAACTTAGCCTAACTCGGAACTCTAAGTAACAAACTTTTGATGCAAGTTTTAAAGATGAAATGCTTTTGAGAGAAAGAAAAATGACTTTTCAACTTTAACGTGACCTGTATTTATAGTTCTTTTTATATGAAAGCAGTTTTTTTTAAAGTGGACTTAAATACATGAGGGTTTGAATATGGAGCACAATTGGGACAATAATCAAGGGTGAACAAGAAACTGAAGAGTAAGTTGTAGTGAATTTCTTGTTGTTCTATGCATTGTCCAACCAATCCTTGGTCCAACTGACTCCCATATGGCAACAGGCATGCATATACAATGTAGCAGGAAATTGAAGACAGGAAATGAGATAACCTTTATATGACCTTTCTGGGACCTTTGACCTAATGTCGGGACAAGCACATGTCAAGCATGTGGAAATAATAACAGAAACAAAAACAGACATACTGAAAACAAGACCTCTGTGTACAGAGGTAGAAACCCCACCTTGTGTTGTGTGAGTTCCGAATGCCAGACAGGTGACATCATCACAGGTGAACATCACCTGGTGGTGCTGCTCCTCCAGACCAGGCAGGGCTGCGGCACATCCTGCCTCCTCCCAGCCTACCTGTGCAGGGGGGCTGAAGGACAAACAAATGTTTCAACTAGGGAGGTAACATTTGCATCATGTTTACCTTCACATGACCCAGCTTAACAAACTACTGCTAAATTCTTACACAAACATATATATGGTGACCACGCAGGCCCTCTTGAACTAAGTTCTGCATGGCACTTGTAACCAACACCAGTTAGCCTGGTTACCAGACACTTACATCCTCTGGTTACATCCTCTCCACTATTTGCGGAGAGGATGTAGGACTCGAGAGCTATAATAGGTTTGGTAACCAGGCTAAACACCAGTTACCATGGTGATAGACTTCTGGTCCTGGTCATTGGCCGTATTTGTTTGGAACGGAAGAAGAAACTGAGCAAAAACAATATGTTGGATGCCAGGGCCGGACATCTAAAAAATTAAGAATTCCTGATGAGGACAATGGACAAACCGTAAATACCTACAAGTCAAAGGACGAATTGTTAATACTTACGCAATTCAGATGTAAGTCTGCAAAGTGGTATCAAAATAAAGTTTCAAATCTACAGGATTGCATTCCTCATTTTATTTGCCTCCTTTCGATTTAGAGGCTATGACGTCCCATATCAATTACAACTTGACCTTCTCCTCAACATTAGCTCTCACCTTGAACTTTTCTCCTCCTTTGTCTCTATCTCCATGGAGACGTCTTCTTTCTTCCTTTTCCTTCCCCTTTTCTTCTTTTTCTCATCTTTAGGGCTGTTTTGCTCACCCATGGGTTTATTTGCTGTCAAAGTAAAAGTTTAAGTTAGATGTGAATAACGTGGAAGTGATGGACTTGAAAACACTACATAAGTAGAGGGTGCACAAAGAAATCTGAATTTGCAAACATAGAGGTCAACTTATCAATTTCCCCTGTAACAAATGATTAGTATGTATCAAATCCACACCTTTTTAAAGGGAAAAGCCTCCACCAAAGTACAGTGGTAGAAGTGAACAGAAAAGGGTGTTTGAAGGGTTGCTAGATTAGTTTCTTTATGAAAAGTTTTTCAAGCCAGCAAAATCCAAATCTCAGAGACATGGCCACTAGCTAGCTGCTCAGAGGATCATATTGTAGAAAAAAACGTCACACCACAACCCAGCATGACCACAACAACAATACGTAAACATGAATCTGTCAGCCAGATGACAGCGGTCGTTTATAGTTCCGAACTGGGACTGACTGTGGGATTAAAACTTCCTCATAAAACTGGACTATCTCTGTCCCCCAAATGTCACGTTAACACGAGGGACACAGCTCAGGATTTACAGTTCTCTATAGCTCAGGTGGATTATTCAGGCGCACATGTACATGTCACCCTTCCTGAGGTGCAGTAGTGATTGAAATGTAACCCTAGGCCACACCAATTCAATCAATTGGTTCTCAGATAGCCAGCTACTTGCAAAAAAAAAAAGGAAAGAAAAATTAGGTTCTAAAGCAACTTCAAAATGCTCATATATGTTTGGGTTACTTGCAGGGCAGAAAGAAATTTGTTATTTTCCGAGATCATTAATCAACAACACAATTCAACTATAATGCAGCAGCACGCAGTCAAAAACAACATGATCTGAAGGCAGTGCAGTTTAAGAACAACAGCCAAGTGAGTGGTTCAGCACCAAGGACAGTCCCATAAAGCAACCCTCAGCATGGAAACATTCAGGAACTGCATGCCGCAATTGTTTAGAAAGATGAAACTGGGTTCACTGCATTACATGGCATTCAAATTTAAATTCAAATTCAAACTTTATTCATCAACTTGGCAGTCCTTAGACCGAATTGCGTTGATTGTACAATTTTGCCATTATAAAAAACACAGTACAGTTAATAAGCAACATTTCATCAGTTAAAAAGATATTACATTACATAATTGATTAATTCAAATATGGTAAGTATAGTAAAAGTACATGGACGACGTAATGGGCACACAGTGAAAAAAGTACGTAATATGTATAAATGTGTAATAAAAAAAATTATGTATAAAAAGTATGGGCCTTAGCCTGGGTTTTGAAGGTCTTTGATGGCCTTCGGAACAAAGGAGTTTTTGTGTCTTTCAGTCCTGCTGAGTGGGAGTTTGTACTGCTATCTGCATCTCAGTTCATAACGCGGTTCCTCAGTCGGGTGAATGAAAGCGTGACAGGGGTGTGAGGGATCTTTCCCACAGGTTACAGATGATGGCTATAACCAAAAGCCTTTTACTAGTACTTTAGTTACATGTAATACAGTGGAAAAGAAGGTCCTCTGGGACCAATAAAATCTGGTCTATGTGAACAGGTGGTTATTATAGACAAGATTCTACATGTTTTCGAATGAAAGCTCACCTGTGTTGGTAGAATCTATAGTTGTAAAGTTCAAACTTTGTTCCAACACCATAAATTTTCGTCTCGTCAACCTTCGTCAGATGTATGATGCAATCGTTGACTCTCCGGAAGTCGGAAGCGTGATGACGTCAGGAGTGCATCAAAAGTGGCGGGAAGACGGAATCTCTCACCGTCAAGGTTTGGTGGAGAGGGTCATACTCATGGTTGACAAGATTGACCGTAAATTTATGGTGAGTTCCCTTCTTGTGTTGGAACAAAGTTTGCACTTTACAATTAAAGATTCTACAAGCTGAGGCAAATTTTGGTACAGTTGAGGCCTGCTTACCTGGTTCCTGTTGCACCATTGGAAGTGATACTGTAGCAACTCTGATCTGATCTCGATCCTCATTGGTCACCTTGGTTGCTATGGTGATCTGTTGCAAATGAGGAATACACAGATATTAATTATTAATTTCATATTTGTACGCTGATGTGTTTTCACTATAGGACCTGGTTGATCTAAATTACCGGTAATCAATGAAAAATTACAACCATCCCTCAACAGAAACGGGAGGCGCCACAGACTTTCTGCAACCTATGATCCACTGCTCACGGAGTCACGTGTGTTATCTGCGTGACGTCACGGTGGATTGTTCATTCCTTGACAAAGACTGGAGTTGTACAGTAGAAAATTTGGGTGAGTCCAATATCTTGTGTTGGAAATTACAGTTTAATCTTGCAGCATAATGAATTCTACCAACACAGATGAACTTTCAAGATAATAAAAAATGTAATTAGGACTTAAAGTAGGGTGTCCTGGAATATCTGTGACGTCTCTGTGTCAACTGGCTGTTATATACTGCTGATGGGAGTGTTATTTCGGTGTCTTACAAAACCACCCTTCAGAAAAGTGGGCATTTTGTGCCCCCAACCCCAGAAATTAAACAGAAAGTTCTCACCTTTCCTTGTTTGTCTCCGTCGAGGTAGCAGTAAGAGGTGGACAGGTCAGGTTTAGATGTGGAGAAAGTCACAGCTCTCAGCAGGTGGGTCTTCCCACTGGTCAGCTCAAGTTCCTGGGAAAACAACACAAATAACCTTATCTTGAAAGTTCATCTGTGTTGGTAGAAGTCATTATGCAGCAAGTTTAAACTGTAAACAGAGACGGGGGCGCCACAGACTTTCTTCAACCACTGCTCACGGAGTCACGTGTGTTATCTACGTGACGTTACAGAAGCGGTGGATTGTTCATTCCTTGACAAAGACTGGAGTTGTACAGTTGAAAGTTTGGGCGAGTCCAATTTGTTATGTTGGAAATTACAGTTTGCTGCACAGCACAAATAACGTTGTTTGTAAGTTTTCCCTTCTCAGTTATGGTTATGTTAAGTAGGAATTAAAGGTCTTTGCAGAAGGAAAACATATTGTTTTTGCGCTGTTTCTTCTTCTCCATGTCAATGACCTGGACCAGATGGCTGTCACCATGGTAACTAGTGCTGTAGCAGACACCCTGTGGTGTTGGGTTACATTGTGTCGACATTGCAATGACGGGACAGTTGGAGGGGCTGGTCATACATGTATATGTCTGAATGTATTTGAGTAAGAATAAACAGACCAGTAGTTTATTAGGCAAGACCATGTAAATGATGTCAACATTATGCATTTGCTTTGCAAATATTACGTTTCTAATTTCTAATTTCTGTTTTTGTCAAATGTCCACATGTGAACTTTCATAATCTCCAATCAAAATCAAAAACACCTCAGTCCTGGGGTCATAACTCTCTGGTACTTAAAGGCATGACTATTTCTTGTTCTTTTCTCAGCTGGTACATGTATATCTACCAGTTAGTTGGTATGTCTACATCTACCAGTTTATAGGTATTCATTTTGTACACAGGACAGTGCAGCATAAGGGACCATGATTTGTGCCAAAGCCATTCTAGACAAGCCTGGCGACCTCTGTTTTACCGGCTAAAGTTCAGAAACTTCTTTGCCCCGCAAACCAGACAGGCGCCTGGGGACAGATACAGTCTACGGACGGACACGAGAGGATATCACCGAAATGGGAACACCGGAGTCCTGACTGAAATGAGGCCATTCTTATCTGCCAGACTCTCCCCCCTAATCCTCCTCCACTGTCCACACCTGCCCCCTGTCCCGGACGTCCCATCACAAATCAACCCGCGCTGTAAAAAAGGACAACTGCCACTTGTTCAACCACCTTCTCCAGAAAACCCAATTTCCCGCAGATTACGAGGGAAATGATGGCCTTAGTCTCATCTTGGGTGATCTGGGTTTGTTTGGCCCCGGAGAGCGGGGCCAGCACTAAACAGCGATCCCTTTTCCAATGGCTGCACCTGCATCCCCCGTCCCAGAAGTGGCATCCTAATTTGGGCCGGACCATAAAGGGACAGATAGACGCCGTTTGTTCTGGGGATGTGTCAGAAAGCTCATTCCCCACAAATGACCGTCGGGAAGATTACCCCGTGCTTTGTTGCTCCCGGGAGGGCGCACGAGCGCCTGCTCCTCTTCAGCACAAGATCCTTCCAGCCAGGTCTTCACCCACCTGAGGAGCGGTCCCCGGGGCGAGGCGGTAATTCCAGACAAGATCACGAGACCAGAAGAAGCCACCTGTTAAAGAACTCCCACAAGGAATCCTCAGATCTCATTTAGAAGCCTGGTCTGGAATGAGCTGCCGGGGGAACGAGCACCCTGGGTGTCGGACTCATCATCGCTGGACCATATCCTGCCCCATCAAGTACCCGCGAAGACAGCTTATCTTCTGTGATGCCGCGGTACAAAGAGATCCTGGTCCGACATAAACTTCATTTGCTCCCCTGTAAAAAAGTTTGGCGCATCCCGTACATGTCCCTTGCAATGAAATATCGATTCCTGAAGTCCATTAGAGGCGTCTCATCTCACATTCCTCGGGAAGTTCTTTCTTGATGTTCCCTCGAAGAAGGTGGAGTGATAATTACACTCGGAGACAGTATACAGACATCGCAGACATGTCCCACTGTCTACAGCACATCAAGGATTACTTGTACAATGTAGATGGACTAAATTTATCACAAAGTTTTATTCTGTTCCCCATTGTCCGGTTCTTACTAGATAGAACTTTTTTTGTTATGGAGCACTGGAACTTTAAAGTACATGTAATGGCAAACTGGTTGGTTATTATGCTTCATGCCTTTAGATAAAGATTTAGATTTAGAGATGTTTACTATTAAAAGAGGGAATTCTGTCATTTCAGTCAGAGTGCACTTCAAACATTATTCTATAACAAAATGTTTTTGACAGACTTTGACAGAAGGAACAGTTTTGTGCTTTCCAACAGCTGCACTGTGCTGTAATGTTGTGAAGAGTCAAACGTTACACGGCCCTGCAAAATGCTGTAGAAAGCTTGATAAATCAAGGGACCAGCTGAAATCCCTTTTTCAAAATGCCTTAATCTCAAAATCTATTGCTCAGGGGTTGTGCCCCCGGACCTTTCTGTTCAGTGGCATCTACAAATGTCCTTTTGAGTCGCATGGGCCATTACATGGAGAAGCCATACGGGCGCGCGCTCGCGTGCCATCAGTCTTGTAACAGGACCTAATCTCCCCATCTCTAACTCAATATGGACACTCGCATCTTAACAGAGGAACGCTCCAGCGCAAATATAACATCTGGCCTTTTGCTCAGTAGTTAGAGCACTAAGAGGTGTACGCTTAGAGAAGACGACAAAGCCCTGGCTGATCAGAGACTTGGCAAATGTGACAGGTTATAGGACGTCATACAAATGAGTTCCCACGGGAGCAGCCCTAAATATATGACACTTCTAAAAAAAGAGAATGTGTGCACTTGCTTCAGAGTACCGGTACTTACAATAATGGCTAGACCCACATTAACATTTTGACCCAATGTACACACATGTAGACATACGACACGTTCCACCCTTGCGGTTCCAGGAGACCATTAGTAGCATGTAAGCTGAGTGTGGGTCACTTGTTCCAGATAACACACTTAAACTTAGTAAAAGCCTATACAGGGCTAAAAATACTGGGTTTATAATGCACTTTTGTGTGCCCTAAATTGGAGCTGTAACCTAAATTCTGACTGTGTGTCCAGTACACCTAGATATACATAATGTGTAGAGTTACTTACACATTGTACACTAGTATACAGCAATATTCTTTAAGTGCCCCCAAATAGTTGTGACTTGTGAACCTTTGTCATAATACTTGTTGAACACTTTGGATTTAGCTATAGAATTTCAGAGTCTTGTTTCAAAGATAGGCAGTAAGCTTTGTAATTAGTTTTTTCTGACATTTTTGTTTATTTTATGTTGAGCAAGCAATTTTTTCTGTGCACTTAAAAATTTTTAGGGCAGCAGGTGCACAAAAGAATTTCAAGCCCTGTATTAGGCAGACAATACTTACAGCCTGTCTGATCCAGTCATGCCAGACAAGAAGAGAGAGAAATATGATAAATGTAGATCACTGTGTAATCTACTATCAACATAGTCATCAGTCTTTGTAAAAAAAAAAAGAAGACAACACTCCACGGTTGAGTGACGAGCCCAAAGATCTGAAAGTTAGCTATTTCTCAGTCAAGTACAAATAGCATGACCCCTCAAATAGGAGGTAATCTGGTCGGCTTCAGATCAATAGGAGGCCGCGCAATCAATTGTCTCCTGTGGCTAGACCGGGCGCGGTGTCCGCTCGGCTGGAGCATAGCGCGAGCTGTGACAGCCAGAGGCAGTGCAGTGGTCATTTCGACTGGCCTTTGCTACAAGACTTAACCCGGTAATCTTGGAATCGATAAGAGCTTGGGTGATCAACTTTTCCTTTGGCAAAAAGTCCCACGGAATCTTAAGTACCCTTAAGTATCATTGGATTCTGCAGAAGTAATGGCGGCTGAATGCGTAAATGGGCTCTCTGTGTGTAAAGTGACAAAGGTTGCAAAGCCGTGCTTAGTGGCTTTGCCAATGGCCACCTTTCCTTATCATTTTCCACATGGCGGGGCCCTAACGTGCCGGATCCCTAATCTCGGTATCTCCGGTTGACCGGGAGCACGGCCCATCCGTCTCTGTCAGCCCTGAATTGACAATGTCCCGGAGTCCTGTTTGAAATGGTCCTGATGCGGAGTTACACTGATGACACGTGTCAACCCGATGGACAATCTATCGATCAACCCGCCCCGCAAGAAAAGCTGAGCCCTTATCTTAAAAAATCTGCCGATCAATGAGCGCGTGTGCCTTAAGATTCACTCCTGTGCCCAAATTGATGTCGATAAAGCGGACGTTGGTGCGGCGGCTCCGGCGGTGACAGATGTCTTATCAATGGTCACTTTGCCCGCAGCATGGCCCGGGCTTACGGAGGTAATCCCCCGGTCCCGGGATCGATGGCGTGCCCCGGCCGTAAATTCGGGGTGCCATAAAGCCCCTGACAGGTTGTCATGGTAAGGCAAGCTGCCGGCTGTCGGCCTAATGGATGAGTGTATGACCCTCGCTGCTGAGTCATTTGGAGCAGCCGGGATCAATACAGATTTGTGCTGTAAATTTGGGGCTGCTAGTCAGACAAGGAGCCACCGGCAAATGGGACACACTGGCATCCACCCGGGAGACATTGTGTGTGTTGAATCTGTTTGGCATCTCAAAATGGCAATGAATTTGCTCAGCCCCAAAAAAGTGGCTTTATAAAGACCCTCTGTCCTACAATGACGTAATGAATTTGGCATTTTGCTGGACAAATTAAGGATATTAGACATCAGTATTTGTTTAATATATGTGTTTAAATCTGTTTAGTCAACTCAGAATGGCAATAAACTTGCTTACCCAAAAAGGAGGCTTTAAAGAACTTTTCTATCCTATAACATTATGAATTTGTCATTTGGAGCAGCCGGGATCAATACAGATTTGTGCTGTAAATTTGGGGCCGCTGGTCAGACAAGGAGCCACCGGCAAATGGGACACACTGGCATCCACCCTGGAGACATTGTGTGCGTGTTACTCAAAAATGGCCATACAGTTTGTTTACCCACAAAAATATCGGCTTACAAAAAACTTTCTATCCTACAATGATGTCATGAAAAATCAGACAAGGAGCCACCGGCAAATGGGACACACTGGCATCCACCCGGGAGACATTGTGTGTGTGGAAACTCAAAATGGCCATACAGTTTGCTTACCCACAAAAATATGGCTTTAAAAAAAACTTTCTATCCTACAATGATGTCATGAAAAAGTCAGACAAGGAGCCACCGGCAAATGGGACACACTGGCATCCACCCTGGAGACATCATACATGTGTGTGTTGAATCTGTTTGGCAACTCAAAAAAAAATGGCAATGAATTTGCTTAGCCCCAAAAAAGTGGCTTTAAAAAGACTCTGTCCTACAATGACGTAATGAATTTGGCATTTTGCTGGACAAATTAAGGATATTAGACATCAGTATTTGTTTAATATATGTGTTTAAATCTGTTTAGTCAACTCAGAATGGCAATAAACTTGCTTACCCAAAAAAGGAGGCTTTAAAGAACTTTTCTATCCTATAACATTATGAATTTGTCATTTGGAGCAGCCGGGATCAATATAGATTTGTGCTGTAAATTTGGGGCTACTGGTCAGACAAGGAGCCACCGGCAAATGGGACACACTGGCAACCACCCGGGAGACATTGTGTGCGTGTTACTCAAAATGGCCATACAGTTTGCTTACCCACAACAAAAATATGGCTAAAAAAACTTTCTATCCTAGAAATGATGTCATGAAAAATCAGACAGGAGCCACCGGCAAATGGGACATACTGGCATTCACCCTGGAGACATTTGTGTGTGTTAAAGCTGTATGGCAACTCAAAATGGCCATACAGTTTGCTTACCCACAAAAATAAGGGTTGAAAAAAACTTTCTATCCTACAATGTCATGAAAAATCAGACAAGGACCCACCGGCGAATGTGACACACTGGTGTCCACCCTGGAGACATTCGTGTGCGTTTTAAAGCTATTGGCAACTGAAAATGGCAACATTTACTTACCCACAAAAAGGTGTTGTTTTTAAAGAAACATTCTATCCTACAATGATGTCATGAATTTTGCATTTTGCTGAAAAAATCATATTTTTAAGGACATCAACATTAATTTTGTTCATTGTGTCATAAAACTCAAATGGCATAAATTTGTTTATATACCCACAAAAAGGTGTTTTCAGAAAACTTTCTATCCTACACCCACTCACACTCACTATCCAGGATTTGATTATTAATTATTATTATATTGATGTCATGAATTTGGTATTTTGATGGAAAAATCACAGTTGAGCATATTGGTATTTGTTTAATATGTCAGTATTTCTATTATTATCAACCTAAAATAAACAG